TGGGCATAGTAACAATATTTTTATACTACATTTATCCGTTTTAAATATACTAACCTCACTCCTTTGTAACAACTAAGACAAAAATGTAATTAATTTAGAAAATATTTTCAGGACCCCACCTTGATGTTTCAGGACCCCAGTAGACCTGTGCCCACAACTATTTTTGGATGATTAATATTTGTATCAGGTCAACTAACCATGGGCACAGTAACAATATTTATTATTCTACTTTTATACATTTTAGGCAACTAAGAAAAAAATGTAATTAATTTAGAAAATATTTTCAGGACCCCACCTTGATGTTTCAGGACCCCACTTTGGGTCCCGACCCCAACTTTGGGAACTTGTGGAAGTTGCATTCACGTACAACTGGAAATTTGATAACTATAGGGAAAGATGGAGATACAAAACGATAATGACGTTATTTCTGATAAGTTTAGCTGCATTTTTTATTTAGACTTTTGCACTTTTTATATAAATTTAAAAAGGCTATTATAATAATAATAATAATGTTAAATTACAGACTTTTGACAAAAAATGTAACTGAGTTGTAATTGAGTTTATCATACGTAATACTGATTATATAAAAATAAATAAACTTATCACCAGTCACGTATTTTTTCTTAATTCATTTATTACTTTAAATAGTGATAAATAGTTAACTAAATGCCTATTTCCATTTGTTTTAATAACTTCCACTCTGACTTCCCAATTTCGTGATACACTTAAATGCAACATTCGGTGTGGGCGAGCTGTGGCGCGCGGTGGTAGAAGCTTTGCGGAAGTGAGTGAAACAGTAGTCATATGACCAAGCAAGCTGCAGCAGCCTGAGAATATGTTATCCCGAAATGGATAAATATTCTTGGACACGGTGACAAAACATCACCCCTCAGCAGCGGCCTGACGTCGTGCTCCGACAGGGTGAGTTCGTGTTGCTGCTGTTCCCAGCTGTTTTACGAAAGTTAGCAGCATGGCTAACACCGGAGAGGCTAGCTAAGCAGCAAGAAGAGGAGAATCCTGCTTCCGGTTCTTCTGGTCGTGATGTTTCTTTCTGTTTCCACAGATGGAGGAGATAAAAGTATCTCCTGACTACAACTGGTTCAGAAGCACTGTGCCCCTGAAGAGAGTGAGTACTACTGCTCTGTGTGACTTTCACTTTAATCAGTCAAAGACATGGATATAAGTTTAATATGGTGACCAACGTCCCACATGTTTTAAGATAAAATGAAAGAACGAGCTTAGATTTTTTTTAATGTTATATGTTTAAAGTTTGTTTGTCAAGTTGCTAAGTGTAAATAATGAATACTGGATATTTGCATAATATTTTTATTTAATTGGATATGAGCTTGATGATAACACATGTTGGACTCTGCAGGTTTTACTTGCAGCAGATCTCGCGTGTGTAAATTTGTGTGCATGCAATGACAACATATCACTTCACTTCTGTGGGTCCTCGACATGCCATTCTCAATCTGTGAGGACAGTGTTTCTAAATCTTTTCAGCTTTTACCCCACCTAAAGAAGTCACAGAAACATATGAGCCTGACTTGAGATTGCTAATAAGTCATTTATTATTTATTTATTATTATTATTTTACATTTATTTTTTATTCATCATTAAAACGTTAGTCAACTACAATTTTAATCTCTTTGTAAAACATATTGATATTTACCTTATTTAATATGGATTATATTTCAGGAAATATTACACACACACACACACACACACACACACACA